TTACAATTATATAGCTTACATAACTTGGTCTATTTTAGAGGTTTGAAACCCCTGCCTGTTTACATAATCCATGTGAGTGATACCTTTTTTCCCATCCTTTCATCCTCAGTCTGTGGATGTCTTTGCCTTGTGAGGTGAATCTCTTGGAGACAGCATATTGTTGGGTCTTGTTTTTTAATCCAATCCAATTGATGACTTTAGGCCATCAATCTTCAAGGTTATCATTGAGATATGATTTATGTCCCCAGTCATGTTGGTTTATTTCTACTTTATAATTTAAATTAGTTTCTCTCTTTGATTTAATATTTCCTTAGTGTAGTTTCTCCCTTTGTTGATTTTCATGTTTTTTTAAATTTCATCTTTATGGAGTATTTTGATGAGAATATTCTGAAGTTCAGGACTTCTGGCTGTGAGTTTTTTAAATTTTTGTTTTATCATGGAAGGTTTTTATTTCATCTTCAAATCTGAAGCTTAAATTTGCCAAATATAGAATAGATTCTTGGTTGGCATCCATTTTCTTTCAGAGCTTGATATATGTTATTCCAGGACCTCCTTCCTAGCTTTGAGAGTCTTGGTTGAGAAATCAGCTGAGATTCGAATTGGTTTCCTCCTATTTGTAATCTGATGTTTTTCTCTCACAGCCTTTAAAATTTTATCCTTATTTTTTCTGTTTGCTAGAATTTTCATTATAATGTGTCTTGGTGTGGGTCTGTTATAATTTTGTACACTTGGGGTCCTGTAAGCCTCTTGTATTTGATTTTTTATTGTATTCTTTAGATTTGGGAAATTTGATATTATTGCATTGAAAAGATTGTGCATTCCTTTGGTTTGTATCTCCACACCTTCATCTATCCCAATAAATCTTAAATTTGGTCTCTTTATGTTACCCAAAATTCTTGAAAGTTCTATTCATGGTTTCTTAACATCTTCTCTCTGTGGTCAACTCCATTTTCAAGATTATATATTTTGTCTTAATTGCCTGAGGTTCTGACTTCCAAGTGGTCTAGTATTTTGGTGATGCTTTCTATTGAATTTTTAACTTGGTTTATTTTTTTCTTCATTTCAAAGATTTCTGTTTTTCTTTTTTTTTTTCAGAATATCTATGTTTTTATTGAAGTGATCTTTTGCTACCAGTGTTTGCTCTCTTACATCATCCTTTACTTCGCAGATTAGTTTAACTAAGTACATTCTAAACTCCATCTCTGACATTTCTTCCACTATGGTAGCAACAGATTCTATTTATTAGAGTATCTTGGTTTGCTAGGGGTGATTTGTTCCCTTGCTTTTTCATGTTGTTTGTGTGTCTGCCCATCTAACAGTATGAATCTGAGGCAGTAGAATTTCTACCCTGTGGTCTTATAGTGTTTCTAAAGGTTTTCCATGCCTCTGTTTAGGGGGAGACAAATAATAACAACCAATGCAAACAATTTACAGCATTGACCAAATAGTTCCTACTGTGACATCTACAATGTTAATTATCACAGTAAACAGAAATGATATGATCAGTTATGCCTATAATAAAAACAGCAAGTGTGCAAAAAGGTTTACATTTTCAAATGGTATACAGGGAGAGAACAGAAGTGATATAGGATGTGATGATTATGAGGGAGAAGGAAAGGTTGAAGTGAAAGGTTAAAGGAAGAGTTAAAGAAAGAAATAATAGAGATTGGCTGTTAGGAGAGGAAAAGAGAGAATCAAGGGAAACAGGCAGGAAAAAATATTTATATAAAGTAAAAATTTAAATTAAAATAAAAGAATAATTCCCCAGCTCTGCCAAAAATAAATAAAAATAAAAGAATATAAAACAAAACTAAACTATACTAATCAGACATCCTAAGTTTACAAAAACTAATCCATGTAAAATAACTGGCTTCAAAAATGCTAGAGATGAGAAGAAAAAAAATAGGAAACTGTATAAATGTCCATGTAGCATTAAGGTCACAATTAAACAGTGAATAATAATAATAATAATAATAATAATAATAATAAAAACTTTGATGAAAGTTAAAGAATTCTTTCCATTGCAGTTCAAATTATTCTCAGCTTCTCTTCTCAACAGTTGTAGGTGGGGTCTTCTGGAGTGTCTACCTTTCCATATTTTGCCATCCCTGTTTTTCCCTGTCTCTCTCAATGAGTTAAGTCACATTGAACATTTCTCCCTGTACACATTGTGTTTTGTTTTGCTTCTAGTGTTTTTCATGTGTTGTCTGGGGAAACCCTAAGCCCTTCAGCTAGGATTGGCATCTCTCCTACTCACTGTCACCCTTTTCCTGGGTTAATGCTGTTTTTAACATATGGTTTGCTTTTCTATATCATCTTCTCTCCCATCCTCCCTCAAGACAGTTGAATCTGAAGGATAGAGTCATGCCCTTTTAGTTCACCCTGACCCCTGGTGCCTAACTTTGTGTCTAGAGTATAATAGTTATTAACACATTTTAATGAACTTTTTATTTTAGAATAGTTTTAGATTTACAGAGAATTCCCTTATATTAGCACCCAGCTTCCCATATTGTTAACTTTAAGACATTCACCACAACTAATAGACCAATAGTGACACCTTATTATTAACTAACATCCATACATTATTCAGATTTCTGTGGTTTTTATCTCATGTCTTTTTTCTGTTTGAGGATACAATTCAGGATACATAACATTTAAAAGTTATATCTCCTTAGACATACATCTCCTTTGATTGTTTCTCAGATTTTCCTTGTTTTTTTGTTTTTTGTTTTTTTTTTTATGATCATGAGAGTTTTGAGAAGTACTAAATAGGTACTTTGTGGAATGTTCTCCAATTAGAATTCATCTGAAGTTTTCATCATGATTAGACTAGATTTTGGGGGGCTTTGTGAAGGGAAACCTTAGGAGTAAAGTACCATTTTCATCATATTAAGTCAAGTTACCTGCTGTTAACCTGATGTCTCACTGGTGATATTAGCCTTCAACACTTAACCAAGGCAGTACCTGTCAGATTTCTCTACTTTGCTTTTTTTGGGGGTCAATTTGCATACTGTACTGGGAAAATCTGTAAGTCCTGCCTTCACTTAAAGGGTAAGGAGTTACATTTCACCTCCTTGAGTGTAGACTATCCACATAAACTATTTGAAATTCTTTTGTATAAGAGATTTATATATTCTCCACATTTATTTATTTGGTCATATATTTACATCAGTATGAAACCATGAATCTTTATGTTATGCTTTGGGCCATAATCAGTTCTACTTTATTTTCATTGCTTAGATTATTCTAATTTTGGGGCATTGAGAGCTCTTTCAGTTTGCAGCTGTGTTTATTTGACATACCCTACATTGTCTGTCTTGAGCACTTCAGGTTCATCTTGCCCTCCCCCGGCCCTAAATAAACTATTGTCCAAGGATCCCTGGGTCCCTTTATTGTTGAATGTATTATAAGCCATGATCAGAATGTTGGGTGCACACTAACCAACTTAAATTAAAATTCAGATTCATATTTAAAAGCCACAAAATTGCAAAAAAATAATGTATGTTCCCACCACCAAAAATGAATAATCCTTCTTTATTTTCCATTTTTATTTTAAGAAAAAAAACTTATAAAATTAAAGGTTATTTTCCCTCTCCCTATGCTTAAGCCCTGAGTCTTTTCCCAAAGGTAATGAACCAACCACAATCTTAAGTTGCTGTATAGACATATCTCTCAACTATGCATGGAATGTTTGCAGAAAAAAATATATTATTAAAAAACTGGCTTTGATTGGGGCTGAGTTCCCCCATTTCTGGGCTATTCTAGTTGGTAGTTGTGTGTCTGTCTTCTGCCATTTGTTCATATATGCGTTTCCTCACGATCCTCTTAGAGCTGCTATTCCACTTGTCTCTCCTCTCCAGAGGTGACTCCTCTCTGCTGCCACTTCCCAGACACTGTGTTCTCCAGTCTGTCTTATCCCATCTCAGAATGAAGAAGACTGATGTTGTAAGCTTTGTGAAAGCAAATTGTAAACTTAGAAGTGCTGTGCAAATAAAAATCTTACAGCTCTGCCCACCCCACGCCCCAGAAAATAGCACCTGGAGAATAATTTATTTGTTTGGAGTACCTGACTCCTTATCGCTATTTTTTATTTTATTAATATTGTATTAATTGTACTTTTTAGTGGGGCTCAGTGTGATATTTTCAAATATGCATATAGTATGAGCTTAATAACATTATCAGTTGTTTCTAGTTCTTCTTCAATTGTACTTCTGAAGGGTTGAGGCTGCCGAGGTGGGTATCTGGAAATCAAGATAGTTAGTTACATCTATTGTTCTTTATTTTTATTTTCCTTATAAATACCCTTCCTCGAGACCCTCAGAGGTATACAAAAGTACATACAAGAGGAAGTGAGGGGAAGGGGAAAAATAATACAAGGGGGACAAACGAATGTCAGTAAAGGGGGCAGAGAGAGAAGAGGGGAGGGGAGGGGAGGGGAGGGGAGGGGGGATAGTAGAGGATAGGAAAGACAGCAGAATACAACAGACACTAGTATGGCAATATGTAAATCAATGGATGTGTAACTGATGTGATTCTGCAATCTGTATATGGGGTAAAAATGGGAGCTCATAACCCACTTGAATCAAATTGTGAAATATGATATATCAAGAACTATGTAATGTTTTGAACAGCCAACAATAAAAAAAAATAAATAAAAAAAAATAAATAAATACCCTTCCTCAAGATACAAGAATAATGCCCAAAATAGAGGGAAAAAAAAACCTTAGTATTGAAGCTCATGAAACTAATAATTTCTCCAGCAAGTGACTTAAAATGAAAGGTTTATTATATATTATATATTTATAAAGTGAGAGGCTATAGTTGTAATCTTCATCCCCTGAACTGTCTACTCTGTGAACTGTGTGGATGGTGTTCTGGTCCACTTACCTCAGGAGCAGAAATTTTTGGTTTGGGTCTTTTGTCCCCTAATTAGTAAATATATCTAATTTCTTCCCACAGTTCACACTTACTTAGACAAAAGCAGATTTGGAAGTACGGTTTGCCTAGCATCTGGATAGTCAACAGAGGCACAATGAAGCACTTCTTGAGGTAAGTGACTGTGGCTTCCTGGATGAGCCCACTAGAGCCAAGAAACTTTTTTGCCAGTTAGGGTAGTATTTCTGTTCACCATTTGTAATCCTATGACCAGGTCTGCTGTTTTGTCATTTTGGACAAGAATAATTTGGTCATAAAGTTCCTCCGCCAACCCTCAATGCACATTGATCCTGTGACAGAGCACTTGTAGGAGACAAAAGAACATGGGCACAAAATCATGAGTAGTTTGGACAACCTTGATGGCGTGTGTCTCTAAAGAATGGTATGGTATGCTGCTGGGCTGAAAGCTGAGGCTTAAGGAGCCAGCAGTCAAGGAACCAACTAATACATTTGTATAAAATTATTTCCTGAAATAAGTAATTTTAAATATCCCTTAATTTAGATTTTGGTTGGCTGGCCAATCTGAACAAGATTAGCCTAGTTTCTTCTAGGCTCTGCTCTTGCTACCTCAATGATATTTCTGAAATCTGTATTTATGATTGGTTTTCTGAAGACTGAATAGCATGAGTATGTTGTATGATGGTGTGTTTAGGGTGTTTTTGTTTTGAGACTTATATTTAGGATGATTTTCAAGAGGACTAATGGAATTCCCTGTGAAATTTTATACCATATTAAAATATAACAAAATAAAGTCACTCTCATCCTGAATGTTAGAAAATTCAACACACTTTCCAGAAGACTGGCATTCTCTGCCTCAAGATAGTGACTTACCTTAATGCACATTCTTATTTTGCTCTGATTTTTCTCTAAGGAAATCATTAGTGGGCTTGTTTCTTTTAGGAAATTGATTCTTTCAGTGGCTGCAATCTAAGATTTTATTTTTCCCACTGATCTTGGTTCCCTTGTCTCTGGAGGCACAGACAGGTTGTGTAGATTTACTGTGCTTTGATATGGCTGCTGGTGTTTACTGGATCTTAGAATTGTGGAAACCTATCCGCAGGTCACTGTGAAACCACTTCCAGACATCGGTTTGTTTTATTGCACAGAATACTCTCCAGCCTGTTTATCTCAGCTATGTTAAAAGGATAGTACTTGAAATATCACTAAGACATTTGCCAGCCAAGTATTTGACCTGTTATGTTTTTGGTTGCCATGGTAATTAACCCATCTGTTTACACATCCGTGAAAAATTTGTATTTATGAATGCCTCTCCAATGTCAATGTGGGTCTTTTCACTGCAGAAGCATGTTAACAGAAAGCTTTAGTGTTAGCTGAAGCTTAGAAGTCAGGAGTGCCCTGTGTAAGAGGTAATGGTGGTGGTAAGGTTTGTGCCAAGCCTTGCACTTGAATTTCTTCTTCAGTGTCTTATTTGTTTTAGAAAAACTTGAGTGGACTCAGAACCAGCCATTTTAGGAGAGATTGTAGCTTTTGATTCTGTTAGTTTTTGTTGTTGTTGTTGAATAGTGGCAACAATACATTTAGTAGAGATTATATTTTAGAATCAATTTGTATATAATGATTTAGAACTGGTATAGTGAAAATCTACCACTACAATTTTGCATAGCCCAGCACCAATGATAATAGAACCAGTACATCCCTATCAGTTATGTATTCTGGTACAAAATTTCTCTTAACTTGGCACTCACATTTTCTAAATATTATTTGGCATTGACTATGTGAAACAAAAGCTAGGATAACATTGCATCAAGAAAAAAATTTGAAGATTTTAATTGACCATTGATTTTTAAAGTAATAAAAGTAGATTCAGTCATTACCCATCCTTTAGCTTTTGTTTCTAGTATTTTTATTAAGTTATAACATGTGTGGTTTCACTATATGTTAATGTTTATGGAATTTGGAAGGATAAGAGGGCAAGAAGTAATAATCCTGCTTCACTGACTCCATCAGATTTAGACTGACATTTATTCCCTGTAGTCCATTCCCACAGATGTTAGACGATCTTGGCAATTTTTTTTATCTGAACCAAGGAGAAGGTTATGTAAACATGGCCTGAATAAATCAGGTGATAATCCTGAACTCAGCAAATATATTATGAAGAATGAGAAGCTGACTTTTACTGAGAATTCAGCATTATTTAAAAACCCCCAGAGAAATTAATCTGTCAACTTCTGAGATGTTCTAGAATGAAATGCTGTATGCCCAGCCTCAGAAGAAACTAGGCTAATCTGAAAGAAAGCAGGTTGAAGGAAAGAATGAGATTTAATTCACTTTAAAATTTGTGGTGCCTGTTTTAGTTTGTTTACTGTTGCTATAACTAAATGCTTCAGATCAAGTAATTCATAAATAAAGGTTTGTTGGGCTCACAGCTCTGGAGGCTGGGAGGTCCAAGGTTGAAGGGCTGCATCTGGTGAAGCCCTACTGGCTGGTGGGAATTCTGTAGTCCCAAGACTATGCAGGGTATGATATGATAACAGGGGCACACAGAGATTACTCACTTCCAAGATAACCCATTAATCCATTAATCGGTGAGTGAATTAATCCATTCACGAAGGCAAAGCACTCAGGACCTAATCTTCTCTTAAAGGTCCCATCTCTAAATACCTCACAATCATCTCTTAAAGGTCCCATCTCTAAATACCTCACAATGGAGATGAAATTTCAATATAAGTTTTGGTGGGGCCATTCAAGCCTCACCAACGGTGGCTCACTGCCACCATTAGATACATTAGTGAGTATGAAATAATGGAGAAAACATTTAGGGTGTTTGAAAAGAATTACTTGAGATAAAAGAAGTAAATACTACAATCTTAGTACACTCAACTAAAGTGTATGGCTCTTTGTTGTTTGAGATGGAGTACATTATGCTGCTCATGTTGACCTTCAATTTGTGATACTCCTGCTCTCCTGCTTCAACCTCCTGAGTAGCTGGGATGACAGGTGTGAGCCAACACACTGGCTTAAAGAATGTGGGTTGTTTTTGTTTTTTGTTTTTATTTTTTATAGGTACCAGGGGTTGAACTCAGGGGCACTCAGCCACTGAGCCATATCCCCAGCCCTATTTTGTATTTTATTAAGAAACAGTTTCTCACTGAGTTGCTTAGTGCCTTGCTTTTGCTGAGACTGGCTTTGAACTCGGTGATCCTCTTACCTCAGCCTCCTGAGTGAGCCTCTGGGATTACAGGTGTGGGCCACTGTGCCCGGCCAGAGTGTGTTTTAAATTGAATGTACATATGGAATGTTGGATAAGTACCTCATAGTACCCAAATATGACTTTAGCCAGATCTGCATGAAAAGAAAACAAAAGATAAAATAGATAAGAAAATGTTCCTGTGGCTGGACATAGTGACACATGCTTATAATCCCAGCTATTCAAGAGGATAAGGCAGGAGGATCATAAATTCGAGGCCAGCCTGGACAACACAGCAAGACCCTTAAAAATAAAAAAGACTAGGGATGTAGATCACAGGAAATGTGACCCTGGGCTCAGTCCCCAGTACTGAAAAAATAAAAAAGAAGAAGGAGAAGAGGAGGAGGAGGAAGAGGAAGAGAAAGAAGAAGAAAAAAAAGGTAGAGAAGGAGGAAGAGGAGGAGGGGGAAAAGAGCCTACAGGTGATCAGTAAAAGAAAGGGAATTTTTTTTATCTTTATTTTATGTGGTGAGAGGGCACTTTTTAAGCCCCAAATATAACTAAGGGTAGAGTTTAATTTTATAGTATATTTTATGAATTTTAATTCAATTGATACACTTTTATAGATAGGACACAGATTCGTACTGAAGATCTTCTTTCTTTTTTTTCCCCCTAGTACTGGGGATTGAACCTAGGGGCTCTCTACCACTGAACTACATCTCTAGCTCTTTTTATTTTTTTATTTTGAGACAGAGTCCTGCTGAGTTGTCTAAGCAACTTGGAATCCTCCTGCCTCAGCCTTCTTAGTTGCTGAAATTCCAGACTTGTGCCACCGTTCTCAACCACAAGCACATTTTCTTATCCATTTTATACTTTGTTTTCCTTTCATGCAGAACATGCCTAAAGTCAAATGGTTGACTATGAGGTACTTATCCATTATCTCCTACCTACATTCAATGTACCATTGAGCTGCATCCTCAGACCAAGATACATTTTTTTAAATAATCAGAGCATTATTAATTTTGGAAAATTCTAATAAATGGAATTTGAAAGTAATGCCATATAAATAATTGCTACCAACCATTCCAGCTTTGTAACCTCAACTTCTTGACTAAGGACCTCTTTGCCTATTTTCCTTCCTCAGGCAGATGCAAATAAAGGAAAACATCTGTCAAGCTCAAACCTCTGTGGGAGAAAATGTTTGAGCCGTACAGCAGACTTATCCCTTCACCCTGGCAATTGAGGGAGGAAAGTATTTTACTATTATGATTAGGTAAATAAAGGCATATCATTAGCAAAAATAACTGTAAATGGGATTTTATAAGTCATTCATACTCGACTAATATCTTGGTCCTCTCATTCACTCAGTAAGCATTTGCTGCTAATAATGCCAGTATTATGCTACTTTTATTTTCTCTTCATAGAAATCGTAATTAAATAGGACTTACTAGCCCATTTTACAGAGCAAGACAAGGAAGCAGAGCAAAATTAAGTAACTTGCTCAAAGGCACAAGATATTTGAACACAGGCCTGTTTCTCATTGTGCTTCATGTTACTCTCTTGCTGTGTGCCCACTGGGAGTCTTTGTGGGTGATACAAAAATGAATATGAGATGGTCTCTGCTCCAAAGTAACACACTGTCTGGTAAGGAGATGAGGTGTACACATTCAAAACTAAGACATAAAACAAAGTGTGATCCATGGCAGGGTACAGGCATTTTGTGAAGGAATGTCCATGTAGAGGTTTCGTTGAGGGATAAAGAGGATTAAGACTTTTGTTTTTTGTTTTTTTGGTGCTGGGATGAAACCCAGGGCCACCAGGGAGCTACGTGCACAGCCCCTTAGAACTTTAATATTTTAAAATAAGGATAGAGGACATGGGAGGTAAAGATACTGTGAACAAAGCAAAGAAAGTATGACTAAGTGCCACAGCATAAGTGATCCAGGTTTGTGGGATGTAGACTCTG